GTCTTAGCTGCTGTCTACAGAACACAGAGGAAATGATCATGCTTCTCTCAAAGCAGCCAGGCTGATGTTTCTATCAGTTCAAGGGACAAGGACTCACACCTGCCACTAAACCCAGTGCTCAGCAGCTTCCTATTTCATTACCCATTTGCAGTTCTCAGCCTTGCAACTGCTCTCAATACTCAGTCACATCTAAAAATAAGCCTGAGACTCTGAATGACATCTGACAGGCTGAGAACAGCACCTGGAAGAGCAGCAGTGACCACGCTGTCAATGAACACCCGATTACATTCACCTTGCTTGCATGAGCCTGCAGTTAGTGCCTGGGGTGAGTTTGGTCTCTCTGTTCTAACAGCATCTGAAGTCAAGTTGCAACAGTGTTTTCCATGTGGAAAGGAAGCTTTGTCAGAAAACACCTCACAGAAAACAAATCCTTCCCCGCATCCCATGGGTTTGCCATCCTCCCATAACTTCATGGCAGCTGATTCAAAACAGTGACCCAGAATCCTGCAAAGCAACGTCCCTCAGTGCCTACAGTATTTCAGTACTAATATCAGATGACGCTTCCCACTCTACAAACATCACAAGTCAACCAGGACCTCGGCATGCTGGGCCCTAATCAAAATATAAGATAGAGCTGTTTCAGTGCCTAAAACTGAATACACACTCAAGTGAGTCAAAACAGCCTCAAGGGAGGTATTTATAACCGCATCTTCTCTTACAGACAAGCTCCCGCAGCAGACTCAGCTGCCAGTGTTTGCTCCACGCCTACAGAGCAGGAGCTGCCTCCTCACTCCCCAGCCCTGGCTGCCCACAGCCCCCTCAGCCGTTGCCCACCCATCGGCCTCTCCCTCTCCTAAGAGGAGACTTTCCCCCGCTTGCATCGCCCCCACATCCCTCCTCTTCACACCTCCATCCCCCTTCGGCCAGCACTGCCACAGGGGGCCCAGCTCCTACGTGCTCCACAGCCCCTCCTGCTTCTCCCCTCCCCAGACAGGGCCTACCTCCTCCCCTTCCTCACCAAGCACACACCTCGAGCCCCCCCCATACCCTCCGCATTCCCTTTGATCTCCCAGGCGCAGCCAACCCCGACCCGGGGCTCCTCCTTTAGCATTCACCACCGCATCCCAGCTCCCGTTTAACCCCTGCTACAGCTCAGGAGGCCGCTCCCCTCCTCCCCCCCCATCCCCTTCGCAGCTCACCCCGTGCTCAATGCACCGCAGGGGCACCACAGGCCACATCCCCCCACACCCCGCAGGCCGCGCTCCTCCGCCTCACCTCTGTCTCGCTCCCCGCTCGCTCGGCTGCCGGCAGCTCATGGCGGGCCAGGCTGGGCTGGGCTGTGCGGTGCGGTGCGAAACGAGACGGGACGGGAAGGTCGGGACGCGGCTCGGTCCCCGCTCGGTGCGGCCTGGCCCCTGCCCGCCGCCCACCGTTGAGGCGAGGCGTCCCCCGCCCGGCTCCAACCGCCGCTTCCGGCGTCTGCCGCCTTCTGCGCATGCGCAGCTCCCTCCACGGGCCGCGGCCACGCCCCCTATGGCGTCACAGCTTGCGCGCGGAGCGCGGCCCAGGCCCCCGGCGGGGGTGGCCGTGGCGGTGCCTGAACAGGGAAGGGACCTCCGGTAACGGGGCCGGTGGGGGGGGGCACCGCCGCCATGTCCGCGGCCCCGCCGGGGCAGGAGCTCTGCCCGCACTGCCACAAGCCCTTCAAGCGGCTCCGCTCACACCTCCCGTACTGCAAGGCCGCACCGAACAGAGCCCCCGGCCCCGCCGTGAGCGCGGACCGAGCCGGCGCCGGGGCGGCCGCTAAGAGCGGCAAGAGCCCCCCGAGCCCCGGCCAGGGGAAGGGGCTGCCCGGCAAGGGGAAGGCGGCGGCCGCAGAGCAGCCCGGAGGGCCCGGCCCCGGCACGGAGCGGGCGGCGGAGGCCGCGGTGCGGGAGGTGGCCAGGGCGCTGGATTTGCCCCCCGAGGAGGTGAAGGACGTGCCCGGAGCGCTGAGGGACGGCGCGGAAATCGTGATCGAGAAGCACCGCGCCCGCGTGGTGCGGGGCAAGAGCGGGGCCGGCGGCAGGGGAGCCCCGGCCGGGGCAGCGGTGACCGGTGCCGGAAGGACGCAGACGGAGACGCGCGGCCCTGGAGCTGCGGGGAAGGCGGCTGCGAGCTCAGAGCGGGGAAAAGGCAGCTTAAAGGCAACGGAAGCGCCCGTACTTGGAGCTGCCCCCGGGGCCAACGGCAGCAGCGGCCCCGGTGACCTTGTGCTGCAGGAGGGAACGGGCAGCACCGGGGTGGAAGAGAGACGGGGGCACCCAGCGGCTGGTGTGGGGCAGAAAGCCCCTGGTGCTGCTCTGCACCGCAAGAACCTCCATGTGTCCGTGGCAGAGGCTCCCGGAGGTGGCAGCGAAGGGACATCCAACGCTTACCTAACCAGCACCCACGGGCTTAGTGAGAGCGAGCAGCAGATGGTGTCTGAGCCCATCCTGAGCGCAGGCAGGGATGCTGAGCTCCACACTTCCCAAAGCCATCCCATCTGCTTGCCCCGGAGCACGCAGGCAGGGGCCCTGGGCTTGGAGTGGTTTCCAGACTTGCAGCCTAATTATGATAGGATGAGGATTTTTCCAGGGAAGCCTTTCCATGAGGATGTGGAGATCGCAATGAAGACACCAATGGGCAGTTTCTCCATGGGGCAGCAAGGTAATGCGGGAAAGACAAGCGTCTGCTGCTGATTCCCTGCACTGCCAGGCTGATGTGATTGGGAGAGGAGGGGTGGGAAACACTGGGCTTATCTGGAAAGGGATCCAGGAATGGGCCATGGAGGTTCAGGTGTCCAACCCCAAAGGGTTCCACTTTGATTCAGGTTTGAGGCAGGCTTTTGCGTGTTTGGGCTGGTGAAGCCAACTCCCTTTGTGGGAGAGATGATCCCTTCTCCCTTCCCGAGTCCCTCATTCCCTGCCTCTGACCACTCTCCTTGCACAGGTCCACTCCTGGAAAGGCGGCTGATGGACGTGAGGCTGGGGGAGCTGCCCCTGTGGGTGACCACCAGAGACTTCTCCCCCCAAGCACTGCTTGGAGGAGCACAGAGAGGTGAGGCTGAATTCCTGCCCCTGGGGCAGAGCTGTCCCATTTACAGCCTGGTCCAAGTGGCCAGAGCCTGGATCTTTATAGAAGTACATAACCAGACCCAACCCTTTGGCTCTGGGAAGTGATGCAGAAACCAGTGAACTCATAAGACCTCCATGTGATCTGACCCTCGCATTTCTGTTCCAACAGCCTGGAATAGCTACTACAACAAATACATCAACGTGAAGAAGGGTGGACCAGCCGGAGTCTCCATGCTGCTGGCTGGGTACTGCCTCCTCAGCTATGCCTGGAACTATCAGCACATCAGTAAGATTCCTTTCTCGGTACCAGTGTTGTTTCAGGACTTCTCATGTTTGCAGCAGCAGCAAAGTATTTGCCATTCCTGTTGATTCCAGCTCTGAAATAATTACTTCACAGTTAAGGTTAATATCCAAGCTCAGAGAGCAATATTCTGACCTGGCTTAGGTGGGCAGAGGAATTAGCTAATAAAGGTGGTGAAACCAGTTCCTGATTCACAGCTTCTCCCTGGACAGCTCCAGGAGCCATCAGGAGCGCCTTTAAACCCTGCACATAGCAGAAGGGATGCTCCAACCCTTACACACCCATTCCCTGGCTTTACTCATAACTGAGGAGGGATTCACTGGGCTGTGTTTGTAGTTTCCCCTGCAGGACTTGCACTCCTGCAGTCCCAGAGCACTGTGCTAACACTGTCCTCTTGTGTTCCCCCTTTGTGTTTCCAGAGCGTTATCGCTGGCGTAAATACCACTGAAGCAGCTGGACCAGCACCCAAGGAACGGTCAGGAATCTCTGCTGGGAGCCAGAAGAGCTCAGAAGCAGTGTCCCAGCAGGGACTCAAATCAGCAGAGGTCAGAGTTGGGTTCTTTCATTGCAGAGGGGCTGCTTTTCAGTTGCCTCCTTGTAGGCAGAAGGAGGATGCTGAGAGTGCCTGCAGTCACTGCTCTGAGGCTCAGGCAGCTTTTAGTACTGAAACAAGAAAGCATCAGAGCCACCCTGGGCAGGCAGGGTGCAGCATTGCTCCTGTAGTCTGCACAAGCCTAAACCTTGCTTTGGGACACCAGGCACAGGACAACTCCTGGGCTGCTGCTCTAGATGAATGGACCTGTATGTTGTAGTTGGAGTGATGGAAGGTTTGTGATGGGCTGTGGCCTGAGTAACTGTTCCCTTTAAGTCAGAGCCCATCTTTTACTTACCCTGATGGGGTTTAACAGGAGAAAGGGGGTTCTTTCCTTCCCCCCAGCCCTGCTTCACTGTGAGCACAGCACTGGTGCGACTGCCTGGCTCTGATGTGAAGCTTCAGAGCAGCAGCACTCGGACCACAGCGCCCTATTTCTGGAGGAAGGCAACAAAACAATCCATTGGATGAGCTGTTGTGCCCAAAGGGCAAACCCGTGTCTGCATCAGAGCAATGAGAACAGTTAACAGAGTGCTGGTTGGAGCCTGCCGTTGCCAAACATGTCTGGGAAAGGGTTGCTCATGCTCCAGGCATGAAGGGCATAAACCAAGCCGAGTTAGAGCCAACCTCTTTATTCAGAGTGGGGCAGTTGTACTGTGTCAGGGGGGTCACCACTAACTCCCTGCCTCCCTCTCAGCAGCAATAAAAGCTTGTGTGGCTTTGCCTTGCCTGCTTGGTCCCATGTGTTCACACACGTGGTGCTTTTCCCCCCTTCCCAAGGGTTGGCATCCCCACACCCCCATCTGCCAGGGCCAAACCTGTGTCTGTGTGTGCAGGAGGGCACGGGGCAGCTGGGAAGAGCCCAGGTTTAGCTGCATTAAGGAAGCTGTGATTTCTCTGTTGCTTGTGGGAGCTGGTGCTGGGCAAAACCAAGCCCAACTGGCTTTTCTAGTCCAGCAGCTGCCTCGCTGGCTCCATCCTGCTCGGCTGTACCCTTCCATGTCCATGCTGAAGTCACTTCCCCAGCAGGGTTTCCAGCTGGATCTTCCCACAGTTACTGGAGCCGTGACCTCTGCCTGCACTGGGATGACAGGGAGAGGCAGGCACCAGGTTTGTGCTGGATCAACCCAGTGCCCCGTCACCATGTGTTCATTCTCACATCATTTCCCTTCACCCTCCCTCCAAGGTGAACCATTGCTCCCAGTCCCAACACCGCTCACCTTTAAGCCAGTGCCTTGTTCAGGCAGGGTCTGTGTGCCCAGGGAGCAGCTATTGATGTCCCATGGCTGCTGGGTAGCGCCGGTGCCTGGTAAAGGGGGTTCCATGGGCAGCACATCCTTGCATCCAGTCTCCTTGCTGGCAGCCAGGTCCAGCTGTACCAGCCCCCAAGGATAACCAGCTCCCTGGAGGGAATGGGGCAGTTGTAGGAGCTTGTGGGGCAGCAGCTGCCAAGAACTGTGGGGCAGAGGCAGCTCTGCATCACCCTGATGGGCAGAGATACAGGAGAAAAGGACATCTCTGCATCACCTTGGATGGGTCTGTGCTGCTCATCATCAACCCGGCCTTGAGGCTGCAGAGGGATAGAACAGGCAGTTACTCCTTGGCACATGGCAAGTGGTACCCCCACATTCCTCTGTGGCTTCCCATAGGGACTGGAGCATCCCCTGCCCACCCGCTGCAAACCATGCGGTCACCAGCTCAGGATGGACACGGGGAGAGACCACAGGGGTTCCATTAGTTAAAACAAAGATCCAAACCACCATTGTCCTTGACCCAGACACTGCAGGGGCCACGGCCACCTCTGCAGCCCCACACGGGTGGGTTTTTCCCCCCAGCCTGCCCAGTACTTCCTGCATGAATGTGCAGTTGGGTCCTGGGCAGAAGCCCACGAGGTCGTTGGCACCCATCACCCTCTGCCTGTGCTTGTACCTGCACAGGGGACCTGCCATGCAAAGGAGAGGTTTCCATTTAGGTGGGATGGGGACATAGGCAGCACCCAGCACCCAGCACCCATCCCAGCCGCTCACCCTGCCTGCAGCAGCCACTGGGCAGCCCAGGGTGCTGGCATCAGCGTGCAGGAAGGGGCAGTCCTTGTTGCTGCATTCACCTGCAGGAGCAAAGAGTGGGACAGCGCTCAACCGAGTGCAATGGAGATCGCTCCGGGATGGGATGGGATGGGGAAGGAACCGGGGTGCCCCAGGAGCATCCCCAGGCCTTGGGGCGTTTCTCCCCGCAGACAGGAGGTGGCATCAAGTGCTTGCTGGAGGCCAGGCCTGCGGGACTCGGGTGATGGGGAGGGAGAGGCTCCTGCACCTACTGAACATGGGGCAGAAACAGCACTGGGGCATCCTGCTCTGGTGGCACTGGTGCAGGAAGCCGCAGCAATCACCCTTGGTGCAGAGCCCTTACCCCAGGGGGGGCACACTGGAAGGGGCAGCACACACCAGGCCACCCCATGCACCCACTGTCACACCTCCCTGTGCCCCACAGCACCCATTGCTGCTGCCCTGCCTGCAACCCGGAGCCCCCATCCTGCACCTCCCAGCTTGGGGCATCCCAGGAGCTTTCCCATGGGGAGGGGATGTGCAGCACCCACACCAGGAACTGACAAGGTCTGGTTGCCATGGAGAGGCTCCAGCTCTCCCCTGGACCAAAGGGATGGGAGGGTGATGGGCTCTGAGCAGTGTTAGCATTGGGGTGAACCCTGCCAACGCGCTGCTTGTAAGGCCATGGGGAAACCTGCCATGGGCATGGGCTGGAGGGGAACGAGGCCCATCCTGGTGTCCCCAGGGCCTTGCAGGGGGATTGATGCTGGTCCCATCCCTTCCCAGCACTCACCCCTGGTGGGAGGGGATGCAGGCGGCTGCCCCCGGCTCTGTAGGGAAAGCAGAGCAGGGAGAGAGCTTCACCCACCAGCCCCAGTGCTGGTGCCACCAAGGGCAGGAGCATCTCAGCGCCCTCCCTAACAGCATCCCTAAGGAAGCAATGCCCAGAGCCAGCCTGGCCTCAGCAGGAGCCCAGGGAGGACAAGCAGCAAAGAGGAGAACCCCAACACCCCCCAAGGATGCTGCAGTGTCCCACACTTACCGTCCATACCCACGAAGGGCAGGGGCTGAGCTCCTCGCTGCTGCTCCACACCAGCCTCCAGCTCCTGCATCACCCCTGCTCTGGCAAGGGGCACCCCCAGGCCTGCAGCGGGGCTGGGAGTGGGGGTACCCAAGGCAATCACCACACTCTGCAGGTCACTGCAGCCAGCCTGGGCCCCAGCAGCACTGAGAACCCCTCCTCCTCCTCTCCAAACCACAGCAACCCCAGCCCCGGGCGCTGCTTTAGAGGGAGAAGCTGCCCACATCTGAAGTCAATTTGCGCCGGGATTGGAGGTGCAGGGAGCCCAGCCCCGGCCCCAGCGCATCCCTGTGATTGCCTCCGCACCGACATCTGCTTCTCCTCCAGCCCCAGCGCCGGGGCACAGCAGCTGCTCCGCATCTCCCCCCCGAGCACCAGGGGCTGCGTTAACCCCCTCCCACCGGGAGTGCTGCTCGGCATCCAGCAGAGCCAGACCCGGCCCCAGTGCTGGAACCGAATGCACGGTGAGAGATGGATCCTGGGTCTGAGCATCGCTGGGTGCACGGCAGCACTGTCCCCAGGGCCAGCCTCCAGTGCCTGGTGCCTGCAGGGCAGCCCCACATCACCATCTGTACCATGGGGATGCACAGGTCACCTTCATCCCCACTGCCAGGCTGCCCCACATCACCATCTGTACCATGGGGATGCACAGGTCACCTTCATCCCCACTGCCAGGCTGCCCCACATCACCATCTGTACCATGGGGATGAACAGCTCACCTTCAGTCCCCACTGCCAGGCTGCCCCACACCAGGCTGCAGCAGCATGCACTGGGCATGACCATGGTGCTGCACTGCTCCTTGGTGCCAGCCAGAAAGCACCCCGCAGCCCCCAGGTTTAACCTAATGCTCCATCCCTTCTCCATCCCACAGCCATGAGCATCCCGACACACGCCCCGAGTGCCATGGCCTGACACAGCGGGGATGGAGACCTGCTCCCATTCTGTCAGGAGCTATAAATGCACTGGAGCAGTGCTGCCGGGGGGGCTGTGCACCGACCCGCACCGAGCAGCCAGGGCTCACGCACGCCCTGGGTCCCACACTGAGGTGTCCACCCTGTGCTGTGCGGATGGAGGGGCTGGGGAGGCTGCGGGTGCTGCTGGCACTGGAACCAGGACCCATGGCACTGCCCCCATGGAGTGGGGCTGTGGCATAGAATGAGTGGGTTGGGATGGAAGGGACCTTAAAGCTCATCCAGGGACCCCTTCCACTGGAGCAGCTTGCTCCAAGCCCCTGTGTCCAACCTGGCCTTGAGCACTGCCAGGGATGGGGCAGCCACAGCTTCTCTGGGCACCCTGTGCCAGCGCCTCAGCACCCTCACAGGGAGGATCCCATCCCCTCAATCCCATAGAGGGCTCTTTCTGTCCCGTCGGCTCGCGGCAGCGCGGTGCTGCCGAGCGGGAGGCTGGAGCTGACAGGCGTCACAGGCATCACCATTGCCAAGTGACAGTCGCTGGGTCACCTGGGGGCCTCTCCCCTCCCTGCACCACCAGGGAGCACGGGGTTCAAACCCCACTGACCTACCCTGCCCCATTGCTTCGCATGAGAGCATCCATAAGGGACCAGAGCCAGGCTCCCCCCCCCAGCATCCCGGTGGCCTCGCAGATGCAGGGACCAGCACCATCAGCTCAGGGCAGGGGATGCTGGCACAGGGCACTGGGGCTGTGCTGCAGTGACTGGGGCAGAGGCAGCCCGGTGAGCTCAGAGCAGCTGCTGTTGTTCTCCCAGCCCGGACAATAGACAATGTCCCACGCCACGGGGCATTGCATCGGCCCTGGCACACGCACAGGACCCCATTGTGTCCCCACTGCGGCGCAGCACTCACCCGCTCCCACCGGCCTCACCAGGGGAGAGCCCACTGGGGCATCCAGGGCAAGATCCATCCTCCCCATCCATCCCTAGGGAGGGAATCCTGCTTGCCGTATGGGATGGGAGCAGCAGGGGCAGCCGGTCCTGCTCAGCCATCGCTCTGCTCCCTGCCTGGCAGGGAATGGGGCTGCAGGAGCAGAGCAGCCTCTTGGCAGAGCCATCCCTTGGCAGGATCCAGCCTGGCCACAGGGTCCCAGCCCGGAGCCAGATCCGCTCCGTGGGAGCTCGGCCGCTTCCTCCCAGCACAGGGCAGATAAAGCCCGGCCTCCGCAGGGGCCGCAGCCCCGGCCAGGGGCAATCTGCCAGGCAGGATCCAGCCAGGGATGGGGGGAGCAATGGGACAGGGGATGGGGATGGTGGCAGCACAAAGCCAGGTCCCTCCTGGGGTCCAACGCATCCCGCCCCGAGTAACTCAAGGCACTGCGGTCACTACCAGCTCCTTTTATTCATTGCATTTGTACATACATGGTATAAAACCTGCTCTTGGCCCGCCTGCACCAGGCCAGTGTCAGCACTGCCCGGGCAGAGCGATGCCACAACAGGGGCTGCCCAGCACGGACACACCAGGGCTCAGCCCCGCTCACAGGGGGGTTCCTCCCACAAAGGACAGACCCACGCTCCCATCAGCATCCCTGCGAGCAGCCGGCAGCAGGGATGGCCAGGGGCATCCCCCCATTGTAGTGTCAAGCATCCGGGATGGATCCATCCATCCATCATCCATCCATCCATCCATCCATCCGAGGGATGGAGGCTCTTGGTCTGTCTAAAGTCCCCAGGAAGCGCAGGGAGTCGGAGCCTCATCCCAGCTCCTGAGCCAAGTCCTTCCCCATGGGAAACCTCCCCTCTGTTAAAACCAAAAGCGAGAGTAAGGAAAGTTGAGTACAAATCAGAGAGCAGTAAAAATGGTACGGTGGAAAAAATAGATATAGTACTAAAGGGGCTAAAACTCAGAAGCCTCGCCTTGGCCGGCCCTATATAGCTTTACATGGGCAAGAGGGGGCAGAAGAAAAGCTAAGATCCAAAGTCCAACAGAAGGAACTGAAACAGAGTCTGCTTCCCCTCCTGGGATGTGCCAGAGCTCCCCGGGGGTGTCGGTGCCCCCATTCCCAGGAGCTGAGCACTGTCCTGCTGGGATGGGGAGAGGGAAGGAGGCATGAGTCGAGTCCCCCCAGTGCAGCACTGGGATGTTCAGCCCCATGTCCAACCACTGCAGATGAGAACCAGAGCCCTCAGCGCCCGCCTCTTATACTCTGATCTCATCATCATCTTCATCAGCGAATGAGAACTCCTTGTCGGGGCGTTTTGGGGGGCCCCCCCGCTGGCTCAGGGGCACAGGGACGGGGCTGCGCTCCTCTGGGCCTGAACTGGTGTCCCTGGGAGGGCAGCGAACGCCGCGGGATGGGCTCTGGGTCATTGGGAATGGTGCTGGGGAGCCAGGCAGGGTGGCGGCATCCTCCTCCTCCTCTTCCTCTTCCTCCTCGCGGCTCTCCTCCGCCTCAGGGTCTTCATCCTGCTCCCACTGCTCCTTATCCATGATGCTCAGGACATCACCGAGCATGGAGGGCCCCAGGTCGATGTGGAAGGACATGATGGACTCGGCGTGCTTCATGCCCGCCCCGCTCTTGGCCACCACCACGGGCAGCTCCGTGATGTCCCCGAAGTCGCGCTCATCCAAGCCGGGGCTCAGCGGCCCCGCGGCCGCCCCGTTTGGGCGCTGCTGCTCTTCAGGACTCCCCTCCTCGGGCAGCTTCTTGACGGGGCTGGAGGAGAGGCTCTTGGGCAGCTGCCCCGCGCTCCGGTCCACGTCCTTCTCGTTGAGCTGGGGCAGGGACACCGCGTTCTTGACGAAGAGCGCCGAGTCCCGCAGCGAGCCCAGCATGTCCCGGCGGTCCCCGCGCGTCACCGACTGCGAGCGCTTGCTGCTGCGGAAGCGGCGGGACAGGAGGCTGGGCTTGGAGGCTCCCGGCTCCTCGCCCATCTCCATCCCCGGCTCCCCGGCCTTGCTGGTGAGGAAGGAGGTGTCCCCGAAGGCATCCCCTGCCCTCCCCACGTGCATGGTGTGGCGGAAGTCGCCCAGCGGCGCGCTGATCATCTCGGCCGTCAGGTCCGCCCGGGAGCGCCGCTTGGAGTGGGCAGAGTTGGACACGAGCTGCTTGAGGATCGGCATCGCCGCGGTGGGACCGGGGCTGCGCTGGGGCGGCCGAGGTGATGCTCACACCGATGCGATGCTCACACCGATGCGATGCTCACACCGATGCGATGCTCACACCGATGCGATGCTCACACCGATGCACTGCTCACACTGCTGCGATGCTCACACTGATGCGATGCTCACACTGATGCGCTGCTCACACCGAGGCGATGCTCACACCGAGGCGATGCTCACACTGATGCGATGCTCACACTGATGCGCTGCTCACACCGAGGCGATGCTCACACCGAGGTGATGCTCACGCCGATGCGCTGCCCACGCCGATGCGCTGCTCGATGCTCACACCGATGCACTGCTCACACAGAGGCGATGCTCACACTGATGCAATGCTCACAATGATGTGCTGTTCACACCGAGGCGATGCTCACACCGACACGATGCTCGATGCTCACACCAAGGCGATGCTCACACCGACGTGCTGCTCACACCGATGCACTGCTCACACCAACGTGCTCTCACACTGACACGATGCTCACACCGAGGTGATGCTCACACCGACGCGATGCTCACACCGACGTGATGCTCACACCGACGTGATGCTCGATGCTCACACCGATGCACTGCTCACACCGATGCACTCCTCACACCAACGTGATGCTCGATGCTCACACCGATGCACTGCTCACACCGATGCACTGCTCACACCGATGCACTGCTCACGCCGAGGCAACGCTCACGCCGAGGCAACGCTCACGCCGAGGCAACGCTCACGCCTATGCACTGCGCTTGGGATCCCACCGGCGTCACAAGGGGTCACTCCTAAGGGGCAGCAGAGAGGGACATGGTCAGACATTGAGGACATGAATGGGTACAGCCCTGCCAGCACCAGTCCCATGACCCCGCGCATGACATCCGCTCTGCTCCCCTGGGAATAGCATCCATATGTGGAATCATTCACGGGGACTTGTCCTCACACACCCCGAGCTCCCCACACCCTCTGATCGAGTGGGTCCCAAACCCTATCAGTGGAGCCGACAGAAAGGGTCACAAGAGAAAGACCTGGGCGCAGGGATGTTGCAGGATGATCCCCAGCCCTGTGCCCCACATGAATGGGCACCAAAAGGGACGTGGGGCACCGCAGGCTCCCACCATCCCCTCCCGCACAGCCCCAGCTCACCGGAGCCTCCGGGAGCCGAAGATGCCTGGGATATTTCCCCCCCTCTTTTTTAATTGGAAGCAAGCAGGAGGAGCAGACGCCAGGAGGAATTGGAAACAGACGGCAGGAAGTGTGTGAGGAGGGCGTAGAGCCCCTGGGAGGCACCGCCAGGCAAGCAGCGTGCTGGGGGGGGGGCCAGGATGGGGACGGGCAGGCACCCCACGGGTACCATTCACAGCGGGTAGGATGGGGATATGGGGACACCGCCTTTGAGCACCCCAAACCCCTCCATGCTGTGGCCATAGCCCGGCCACCTCACTGTCCCCGCTGTGACTCAGGGGTGGCAGCAGAGATGACGGTGGCTGAGCGGGATGTGGGAAGAGCCCTGTTCCTCCTTCCCACGGCCACCTCAGTGCCACCAATGGTCCTGCCCACGCAGGAGGGGACAGGGACAGAGACCACGTCACCGCATCCCTGGCGCCGGGCAGCCCCAGGTGGTGCCGGGGGAGGCTGATGGGGAGGAAGGGCTCAGCTTCCTCCCTTCGGGCACCGATGGCGACATCGCGGCCCCGTGGCATGCAAGGGGAAGGGGCTGATGTCAGTGCTCGGTGTGAGCCTTGTGGTGGGGACCCCATCCCCAGCACTGCCCACCCAGCCTCACAGTGCAGCCGAGGGGCTTTGCAGGGCAGCGACCACAGCACCACCCCAGCACAACCTGCTCACTGGACACTGCCGGGGACCACAGCATCAGCCCCAAGCTCCTGGCACAACTATGGGAGGGTTTCTGCCCCACATCCCACCCCAAACCTGCTCTGAGACACCCATCTGTGCCCTGCTAAAGCAGCAGGACCTCATGCAGGCTGCAGAAGGAGGGACTCTGACCCCATACATGGGGGCAAAGTCCCAGTGCCCAGCCCTTCCATGCAGCACTTCCACACGGAGCCAGCCAGGGTGGGCCTGCGGACCGTGGGGAGCATCCAGTTCATCCTTAGCAGTTGTGAGAACAAACACATCCACTCTGCTTCTGTACCCCCTCAAAGCAGGAGCCAGGACCTCATCCGTGCCCACATCCCAGCCGCTCTCCCCTTGCCGAGCTGCTTCCAGGCCGGCATTCCTGCAGCCTTTGGTTTTACATAAAACAAACACTCCCGGCGAGCTCCCCGGCTGGGCCAGGCAACCCTGCTGCTGATTTAGGCCAGCTGGGGACTGTCCTGCCCTCCTATTCGGATTGCGAGGTACTTCGCAAGCCTTGGCTTGGGGGCCAGCGGGAGGTTGGAGCATCCCCAGTGTGCTGCAGCAGCCTCCTCTCCATCAGCCTCACAGCTCCAAACCAGCTCCTGCCCACGAAGCCTTTTTGTAGTGGGCAAAGTCTCCCCCATCCCTCAACGCTCCGCTCCCTGCTCACCCCAAGGGGTGATGGGGGAGCAATGGGATGCTGCTGCCTGGCTGCCCGCCCCGTCCTGCCCAGGGGAGCGGGACACAGAGCACTGTTCTCCTCCTCTTCCTCAGGGAGAGCGGATCCTGTGACATTCCCACTGTGGTGCTTTCACAAAGGAAACCAGGCCAGGGCAGCCTCGCTGCTGCTGCCTCTCAAGCTACCTACCAGGGCAAGCAGCTCTGTAACCCGAGAGACTGTGCAGGCAGGCAGGCTGGCAGCGCTGCCATCCTGGAGGGAGCCCGGAGCACAGCCAAGTCCCTGCAGGACTTTGGGAAAGGGGAGGAATGAGACCTGCAAGTCTGGCTTGAGGACAAGAGGGATGAAGTGTATTGACAGAACATGCGCTTCTTCCCACATTTCAGCCCTTTGGAACCACAGGCTCCAAGGAGTGAGAGCCTTAAGTCCCCATGGACATGATTTCATCCTGCTTGCAGGACAGGGGATCCTGCAGCCAGTGTGGAGGGTGGGACAGCCCTGGGACTGCGGGCCCTCATGGTTCAGGCTTCCCACAAGACCCCTACATCCTCCCCCTCTCACCCTGCTCAGCACCAGGCACCCACAGAGGCACAAGCAGCTTAAAGACCCCCATGAATGGGTGCACACAGGGGGGGGATGTTGGGTCCAGCCGCGCTCCCACACATCCTGCCCCCGGCTCATCCCGCTCACAGGCTGGGAGAGGGAACGCATCCCAGCCAGCCCGGCCGGCTCCAAACGAGCTCTGCCGTGCACAGCACCCCAGGCAGCACCCTCCAGCCCAGAGATCAGAGGATGCTCTCCCCACCCTGCCGGGCGCTGGGGCAGGGGCTGCGCTGGACCGGTCGGGGATCCGGCTCCGGCTCCTGTGGCCCTTTGATGTTGCTGCCTGGCAGACAGGGCACGGATCACACCCCGCCACCGCCGGCCCCGAGAGGGGACCAGCCCGTTGTCACACCCTCACATGGGGCTCCCCAGCGACTCTTCCCAGGACCCGGGGGCAGGCGGTGCTGTTGGTGCGGGCAGCCCAGGCGCCCCGGTGACAGGTCTGGTCCTGTCCTTGGCTTTGGGACGCTGCTGAAGTTCAGCCCCGGGATGCACGGAGCAGCCCCGGCAGCACCTCTGGAAGTGGGAAATGAGCCGGCGGCGAGCCTCAAAGCCAAGGCCAGCAGACGGCTCACCAGGGTGGGAGGAGAAGCTCGGCTCTGGCCAGGGCTGCCGGCACACCGCTCATGGCCAAGCTGGGAACTCAGCACCCCAGCGCCAAAAGGAGAGCAGCGCTCCCCAAGGAGCTGCCAACAACGAGGAGCTAGCCAGAGTTCAGCACAGAACTCTTGGCAGGACACGCCAGAACACGCACAGGACCATAAATCCTCCTGCTACGGGGCCACGAACCAGCCGGCGGCTCTGCAGGACGAGGAGGGGACCCTTGCCGGGGGGAAAGGTTATCTCCTCGCTGGCCCTGGCTCCATCTCTCACAACAGCAGGGGCTGGCCGGGCTCCGGCAGGATACCGGGGCTAAACAGAACCTCCCGACCTCCGCAGGCTCCAGATTCCTGCGGTTTTCGCTGGGATGGACGGGAAGTAAACAGGCGCTCGGCCACGCACCCGACCTGCACCCCGCAGCGCCCAGTTCGGGGCGGGGGGGGGCACAACCACGGCGGCTCTGCTGCGCTCACCACAAAACCCAGTAACAAAGGGAGAGACCGCCGCGGTCAGCACAACGGGGCCAGCAGCATCGCGGGGCTGGCCGGTGGGGATGGAGCCCCACGGCTGGGTTAGCCCCTGGGTGGCCGGTCCCGGGGATGGGGATTGAGGCTCTTCCAGCCCCCTGGAGCCAAACCCACTGAAGCTCCCCGGTGTTAGGTCTCAGCTGGATTCGCTCCATGGTATCCGGGGGAGCGGTGTGCTAAACAGACTTGTTTACTGGGTGCCCAGCTAGGCAGCAAGCCCTGTCCCGAGGCGCAGAGACTTGTGTTCCCCATCGCTCCATGCCTCTATTTCTCCCGCAGACCATTAACGATCCCAGCTCCCTTCCCGATCCATAGATTCGGCACTCGGAAACATCTATACTGAACGCAGCCACAGCCGGGGTCAGCCCAGGGCGAGTACCGCTCCCCACCAGCTCCCCCAGCACCGGGCTGGGTTTGGGAGCCAGCGCCTGCTGTGGGAGCAGCCCTGGGAGCAGCAGGGATGGAGCGCAGGGCGGGGAGGCCGGCGGGAAGCCCCGCTCCCGGGCAGCGGGATGGGATGATGAACCGGGGAGGGGATTTCGGGCGGCCCTGACTCAGCACCGCGGTGCCCAGCCCCGGGGTGCCGCTGGACCCGCTCCAGCACGGGGCGGATCAACCTTTCCGAGAAGGGCCGCGGGCAGCCCCGGCCCCCGCCCCGGCCGCGGCCACCGCCGGCTCCGAACACCGCAACCCGCCGGTGGGACCGGACGGAGCGAGGCGCGATCGCTGCCGCCGGGGCGGGGTGAGCCG